ATCCTAACTTTTAGTAACTCACCGAACTATGGCTGAGAAAATAAAGTGTATTTAAGATATTCACCAAATATAAATTTTGGCTAAAAAAGTAGTATCTTAAAACTTTCTGGTGGGAAAGTGTCATTAAGGCAAACCTTGAGTGAGAAAGTCGTTTACTCAATACTTTTAATGGATATTTGTATCAACTCTCAAATGTAAATCTTGCACGTATCAACTGTTGCTTTTATTTTATGTAAATAATTAATATCTTTTGTGGTACTCAGGTTTCGCAGATATATATGAATCAATCCAGTTGTATGGACAAAAATGAATGAAACAAAGTAATATCTTCTTGATTGAAGTATAAAATCTCAAAGTATTCATTCCTCACTTCAATGCATAAAAAAGATACATGGAATTAGAGAGCCATTTTGTTACAAGATAAAGCTCTTCAGGAAGAAGAGCATCACAAACGAGATATCGACACATGGACATCAGTAGTATGGCTCCATTTACCAATGTCATGTCTTCAATATTAATGATTTTCCAATGGTATTAATTAATTACTAGTAGTAATCTTAATCCACTACTAATTACAAAAGATGATTAATTTCTATAATAATCTTTTTGTGCTCTTAAAAAGGGACTTGGTGGAGTTTGATGTGCAAAAGAAGTGAAAATATGTTCTCTCTTTAAGGACATTGTCACATGTATACTATATAGTATATACTATAATTTACTAATCATGCTCAATTGGGTGTACGTGTTATTGTCAAGAACAAATATTGGAGAACCCAAGAAAGATTCCTTTTACATGATCAACTTTGGTCTTTAGGATTTAATTGTGTTTATATCTTAATTTAATTGGTAAATTATATAAATATGTAGTTCTTCAAAATTATCATATCCATTCACCATGAAATTTAAATGACTGTTTTAGTAAATTTGTTCTTCCTTTTAATATTATTCTTCATTTGTTATAACACAATCTAGCTGTTAAATGAAACAACAACAATAATAATTGTTAATGTCAAACTCCCACATCGGCTATGAGACGAGGGTATTGATCGTTTATATAACACAAGGATATCCTAAAAAACCTAGAGGCGTCTTTTTAAGACAAAACCGTGCAGGCTTATCAACAACCCAGCTTATGGGCCCAAAACAAACAATACCTCTAAAAACCCGCCTATCATGTGGTTGGAGATTAGGCATGGCAATAGGGTGGGGATCTCATTCACCGTACCCATCCCCACCCTCAAAATCATTCCCCAACCCCACCCCATCCTCGTTATGGGGATGACAGGAATTTCCCTTTCCCGCCCCAAAGGGGAATGTTGGAGGCCCATCCCCGCCCCATTAATTTTATATAAACATAAATTAATTTGAGCATTACCAAACACAATAGTTAATTCTTTTCTATATTACAAACACTTAAATTAATCGTTTAAACATAATTAATTATACATAAATATGGGTCAGGGTTTGTTCTTGTTCAATTGTTTAGGGTGAGGGAAATTAGGAAAATATGGGTTTATATAGGTAAGATAATTGTGTAATTAGGTGAAATATAGGGATATTAGTGAAAAGTAAATATATATATACATTTTTTTAATTTTATATATTATATACGGGGCAGGGCGGGTCAGAGGAAAGGCATCACCCACCCCCACCCCATCCCCGAGGACGGGGATTAAAACACCCCTCACCCCCGCCCCTATCCCCAAAAAAATCGGGGCTTCCCTGCCCCATATAGGGCGGGGCGGGACGGGTCCCCGAAATCTCGGGGAACATTGTCATGCCTATTGGAGATGACATAACAACAACTGGCGCTAGAAGGAGGGCCCGAGTTTACCTAGGGTAACTGTGTCGATTTATACCCACGCCAAACTTCCCAAACCCCTCGTCTGAAGGGCTGTGTTGATATCAAACTCTCACATTAATAATAATAATAATAATAAAAGTTAATGCCATATATAACGTTTAATTAAATAATAAAAATTTTCTAAGATTTAGAAATAACAAAAATCGGCCTACCTTAAATTAAATGATGAGAGGGTACTTCGATAAATATTTGTTAACTCTTAATAGTATATGTTATACAACAAAGCTATGGACACCGAAAATTTTACACCGAAAATGTGTACCGACCTACGTGTACCCCTGATTCAGACCATGCCTGATTTTTCTATAATTATTTTTCTAATGAACGGCCGTCCATCAAATATGGATGGTCGTTCACTCACATGAACCCCTGTCCATATTATATGGACGGGGGTCCATTTACTATGGACGAGCGTCCCCATTTAAAGGACGCCCGTCCATAAATAAAATATGAAAATAAAATAAAAAAAATTTGGAAAAAAAAAAAAAGAACGTTTGGATGGGCGTCCATTCCTAATGGACACCCGTCCATTATTTTGGTTTCTACAAATTAAAGAAAAACTTTGGATGGGACTGGCGTCTGTAAGGAATGGACGCACGTCCATTACTTACGTTTTTAAAAATAAAAGAAAAACTTACAGTTTCACGCAAGGCTGATGGGTTTGTGATCGCCAATGCAGTCAGGAAGTGTTCGTTAGTTACAGCCATTGAATTCAACACCTCACATCACTTGTCTCATCCTCTAAGCAATGACATCCATTTTCTCCCGGATACATTGAAGGGCCGCTTCAGTACAGAGAGCAGCAAGATCTGCTCCCACATAACCATGGGTATCTCTTGAAAGTCTTTCAAGATCAACCTAAAACATGCCATCAAATAAGAATGTCACTATCCCAAAGAAAAAAGACATAAAATGATTTATAAAAGACAATGAGATGAAGCAGATAAGAGTCCTACATCTTCCATGCTTTTAGCACCTTTTTATTGTGAGAGCCCCCTCATCTTGGACCATGGGCTATCCCCAGTCTTGGCCTACTGCGGTCTCATGGGCTTTCCACATGCGCCCCATCATCTTGGGCCCCACTCATAGGAATATCCCCACCCCTACAAGTGAGTTTCTTTCGCCTTCCCTACCTCTCGAACACAAGACCTGCAGGCTAAGTACTTGTGACAAGAGATGTGAGTACCATGAGGCTAGCTGTCACAAGTACTTAGCCTGCAGGTCTTGTGTTCGAGAGGTGGGGAAGGCGAAAGAAACCCACTTGCAGGAGTGGGGATATTCCTATGAGTGGGGCTCAAGATGATGGGGTGCATGTGAAAAGCCCATGAGGCCGCAGTAGGCCAAGACTAGGATAGCCCATGGTCCAAGATGAGGGGGCTCTCACAATAAAAAACAAAAGTTTATAATTATATTTTTAATTTAAGGTAAGAGAATGAGAAGTTTTGAATATTTTAAAGCATCCATGACCATGAATACGATCAAGCTCTGGTTCAGTCTCAGTTTCATCCTTCTCTTTGTGTGACATGCAGTTAATCATGGTTCAAGAATTGCGTAGCAAGTTGGAGCAATGGAGACGCTGTTCTCCAGATTGAGATCCCTCAAAAATCCTAATGACCTTTGTAAAAAGGTAATTCCATGGAGGCAAGAGTTTAAGATTTTCGGGGAAGTCAGTAGCGATGAAGACAATAAGGATAAGCTACAGAACTTCAACCAGGATGCAAACGTACTAGACTGGCTGGAGGACGTCAAAAAGTTGGTTGATGATGTGCAAGAGATACTGCATGAGATTGCTATCACTGGAAAGAGTTCACAAAAGCGTGGCTTCCTTGCTCGTTGTTGCAATCCAGTAGCTGATATTGCATTTACTGATACTCGTCGAATTGATAATGCAAGTAAGCGAATCCATATACTCAAGAAAAGAATGAAAGACACTGGATTGAAAGTGAGATACGAACACTTCCTAACTGCATTGGCGATCTCAAACCCATCAGTCTCGCGTGAAACTGTAATTTTTTCTTTTATTTTTAAAAACGTTAGTAATGGACGAGCGTCCATTCCTTACGGACGCCCGTCCCATCCAAAGTTTTTCTTTAATTTGTAGAAACCAAAATAATGGAATGGACGCCCGTCCAAACGTTCTTTTTTTTTTTTTTAAAGTATGGACGGGTGTCCATTCCTAATGGACGCCCGTCCAAAATTTATGGACGGCCGTCCCCAAAGTTTTTTTTTTCATATTTTATTTATGGATTGGCGTTCTTTAAATGGAGACGTCCGTCCGTAGTAAATGGACCCCCATCCATATCCATCCATATAATATGGACGGGGGTCCATGTGAATGAACGGCCGTTCATATTTGATAGACGGCCGTTCAATAGAAAAATAATTATAGAAAAATCAAGCGTGGTGTGAATCAGGGATACACGTAGGCTGATACACATTTTCGGTACAAAATTTTCGATGTCTGTAGCTTTGTTGATATGTTATAATGGCTCATTAAACAGTTCACTAACGATTAAGATTATTGGTATTTCACGAACCTTAAAAAAAAAAAAAAAAAAAAAAAAAAAAAATAGCCTTGTAGGCATTATCCGGCCATTGTTATATTAAAGTCTTCCTCTTTAATGAAGAATGACCAACGGTCACGAAAACTGTGAAGATTTGGCCAACTGTTTGACTGTTAAAATGTAAGTTGAAGGAGCCTAACTTGCCCAACTTTGCTTTAGCCCATGTCGCATTGCTCATTCACCCATCCTGTTACCTGTACAAGTCCTTGAAGTCAAGCCCAATTGTCACTTGCCATCACCATTAATATGCCAACTCCTTACCAGAAGCCTAAACTTTACTATTGTCTAGACTCTGGAACACAATCCCATACGTAACACCTTGTGAAAACTACAATTGAGATTGAAAGGAAAGCATAGGAAAAGTTTTTTTTTTTTTTTTTTGAAAAAAAAAAAAAAAAACTACACTGAACTGGCAAGAGCACAAGTTTTTTAACAGTCTAAAGTAAATACAGATTAAAAACTGAGAGTAACAGGTAACAACCCAGTATGGCCATGAACTATTCTAGTTTGCTGTACATTTATAATATATGTTCATGGCCAACTTATCTTCGGTAAGGAGAGAAAACAAAGTTATGGAGAAACATAATGAGAGTGTTGCTATATTCATTCTTTGCATTGGGATTATAGAGCTTGTTGGGCATGCTCATGGCCAATCAAGAACTACTCCTCTAACACCAGCTATGTTCATCTTTGGTGACTCTTTGATAGACTCTGGAAACAACAATTACATGCCAACAATTGCACGAGCAAACTATTTCCCTTATGGGATAGATTTTGGCCGTCCAACCGGCCGATTCTGCAACGGTCTTACAGCTGCTGATTATATAGGTACTCCTAAAAGTATATTTACATTGTTAATCTTGAAAGAGAACTAGGGTTATCTACATATATTATGTTATTTGAGTAGTGATCTGTTAGCATAAAGGATTTTGGCTCTTTAACCAACTGTTCATAACATTCTTCTCCTTTTTTTTACAAAACTTGGAGCTCGATACCTTGGTTTGCCATTGATTCCACCGTATCTATCTCCACTGTCAAAAGGAAGAAACATCTTGAGGGGACTCAACTATGCATCTGCTGCAGCTGGCATTCTAGACGAGACCGGGCAAACTTATGTAAGTTTCTTACATTCACTTCATAGAAAAGGACTAGTTGAGTTATGAGAATAGCACAATATATCCATATTCTACTACTTTCAGATCAAACAACCAGCAGATTTTTAAAGCAAATATTTTTTATTTTATAAGGAGAAATTTTTTTTTAAAAAAGGGTAAAAAAAAACACTTAAGTTCTTATACTTTTGCGAATTTGGATATAACTTCTTTCAGGGAGCAAGGACATCCCTTAATGGACAGATTTTGCAATTTGGGGCCACTATCAGCCTGGACCTACAATCATTTTTCCAAAATCCTAATGAGCTGACCCAGTACATTTGCAAATCAGTATTCTTCATTGGTATAGGCAGCAACGACTATATCAACAATTATCTCAAGCCAAACAGGTATCCCAGCAGCCAAACCTATAGTGAAGAAGGTTTTGCAGATCTGCTAATCAATACCCTCTCGATCCAATTATCGGTAGGTCATCGTACCATAAACATATAGTGTGTATGTTCATATGTGCATGTGCTTTTTCTCTTATATCATATTTCTATATATAAGTCAGTTAAATTAAGAAGGTAGTGGAAAAAGTATAACTTAACAAATCACAAATTTATGAAAGAATTAGGATCTACATTGATTTTGAGAACAACAATGCTCTTATTGAAAAAACAGCATGTGACTTCAAATCCACCAAATCCCAATACATGCACTTTCTCAAGACTATTGTGTAAATAAACATCACAGAGCCCTGAAGGAAAAATATGGATGGAAAGCAAACCAAAACATACCTGAAATCATCAGAAGTAAGCATATATAAATCTTCAGACGTAATCTAGATAGAGTTCATTGAAAGGAATGGCCTGAATTGACTAATTAAGTGACTGTCATCTAGTTAAACTGCATTTACTCGTCCCATATCACCAATTACACATCTTGGCAAAAACCTGCAAGTGAAAGAAAGAGATGGGAAGCGAATCATACAAATCCACATTTGTTAACTATGAATTTATTATCCTCAAGCATCTCTTCCATCTGTTTTTTTATTATTTTTTTTTATTTTATTTATTTATCAGGTTAATTGTGCTCAGGCCCAATGCAAACCCACCCAAAACATAGCACTTCATACTGTGTAAGACTCAACCACTAAAACTAGGATTAGGAATGTAAGAAAACCTAGTCCAAAATTACAATGAAACGCAGTGGCCAAACATATAGACCATGACAAAACTCTAGAAAGCAAAGAAGAATTAACAAGTTACTAAAGAAAAATACTATATTTCCAATTAAGGTTTTCAACTGTTCAAACGGAAAATAAACATGAGCCCTGATAAAAAAAAAATTAAAAAATTAAAAAAGAAAGAAAGCACTGCTCAAATCTTAGCACTAAAAAAGTTGTGCCTCTTTATTGTAGACATTGTACAGGTTAGGTGCGAGAAAAATGGTTGTAGTTGGAGTTGGACCACTCGGGTGCATACCCGATCAGTTATCTACAGCAAATGGCAACAACAGCTGCGTCAAGCAGGTCAACAACTTGGCTGCCATGTTCAACAGCCGTCTCATTCAGCTTGTCGACACTCTCAATGCCACTCTCCCAGGCTCTTTCTTCATTTATCAAAACACCTATGATCTCATCTATGACATGGTCACTAATCCTTCTAGATACGGTAACCACCACAATCCTCTATAGAATAGTCCTTAATGAAAGAATCTTTTGTCATAAGAGTAGCAGGCTATATATTACTAGAATAGTTATAAGACCGATCACAACATCATATCTTGAAGTAATGCATTAACCATCCAATCAAAACATAACTCTTCCAAAATTAAAAATAGAATTGCCATTGTAACTTCTAGTTATCTTTTGGGGCTTGATTACTAATTCGGATGTATTTACTATAACAGCCGCATAGAAACACTATACACTATGGTAGCAGCTATCACCTAGATTGTCCAGGCACCCAATCAAGCTCTTTTAGATCTCCAAATGCAAGACTTTTTATCTAAACTCTGGTGAAAACTGATTTTCAGGGTTTGTGGTGCCAAACAGAGCTTGTTGTGGTAATGGGAGATATGGAGGGAATCTTACCTGCCTTCCCCTGCAGCAACCATGTGCTAACAGAAATCAATACATCTTCTGGGATCCTTTCCATCCAACCCAAGCTGTCAATGCAATTGTAGCTAAGAGCTGCTACGGCAAGTCTGCAACCAAATGTTATCCTATAAGCATAGACCACCTGGCACAACTATAGAGAGGGGAAAAAGAAAAAAGAAGAAAATCCATTGTGGTAGAAACCTCCAATTCAATTGGTAATCTAATTTTCATGTGGATGATGCCACTGAGAACTGGTATTTCATATGGCATAACCATTTTGTCTTGTCAAAAGCTTCTCAAAACCTAATCTGCATATCGTCTCAAATTCTTGAATCTTGCCCAAGTAAGATATTTGGGGTTGGTCTAACTATGAAATAGATGGCATGATCAAAAGACAATATCATCATTTATTAGCAAAAAGAGACACAACAAGACATCCTAGTTGTGGAGCACACGCTACCAAGCTAGTTGAGAAACTACTGCAATCAAAAAGAGTAAGGTTGATTCAATCTGAAGTACCATTTCCAAGACAAACTATAATAGAAGCTAAGTCAAAATACTCTGCCTGTGATTCAAACATGTCCACAACAGACTATTTCTTCTAACTACTAACAATAGGAATGCTGACAGTGCGAATTGCAATTTGTGCAAGACAAACTGCCGTGCAGGTTAACAATTTTAGAAAAGGAGCAAAAGTTCTAAACTCATACACGCGATAATGGATTTTTTTGAAAGAGAAAACGCACTACAACAACTCAAACGACAAAGTTGGACAAGCTAAACAAACAAGGATCAATGCCACACAATCATATAATGTGCCAAGATGAATAACTAATGGGTAAGGAAGTTATAATAGTTCAATATATGCAACTCGCAAAAAGTGTACAAAAATTAAGAAATGTTATTTTTTCCACAATTGTTCCCCAAACATCACCAGCCATGGTGTACATCCTTTTTCAATCCCATCACTATTCAAGTTATCAAGTACAACAGTGCCCAATATACAGAGCCACAGTACACATGATATCGATCTTTTCTATAAACAAAAACTGCTCCCAAGGGCTGCAGCGTGCAAAACCCGCTGAATTTGAATCATAAATCAGCTAATAAGCATAGAGCACCTTATAAAAATTTGTACACAGATCAAAGGTGGCTTTAGTGAAATAAGAGATAAGAAATGAAGATAATGCGCCCCATAAATCTCTCTGTAGAATGCAAAATGGAAGCCGTCAAGCTAAAATTTCCTTGTCAGCCTGTGGAAGCATCAAATCTTGGCTCATAAAAACAGACCTGGCTGTTGTATGACTGCAGAGCACACCCAGCAATCCAAGACCAACCCTTCTTTTCCACATCATAAAGAAGGCCCTTCCCCTGGTTCCAAGATGTAAAGCAGATCAAATTATCCTGTCCAAAGCACTCAAATCTCTCAGCTGATAGCCTCAGTAAAGCTCGAAAGTACTTTGGTGGCATCCTGCTTATTTCCACCCACATAATTTTCACATGATCCAATTCCCAGATTCTCATACTCTGGAGAGTACTATAAAGACCAATCCTTCCAACTAAAAACAAACGTTTCTGTGTGCCAGCAACCAAATAGCCATCCAGCAAAGACCGTGGGAACTTAGCCGGAATGTGTTCCCAGTAACCTGTGTCTAGCCGATACATCATCAACCCCAGTGGTGAAAGAGTTTCCAAGTATAACCGGGAGTCACAATACGCCATCTTTGAGGAGCAAAGATTAACTGCAGGCATTATCTGGTGGACTGACCATCTGTCAAGTTTTGAATCATACACTTCTGTAGGCAATGACTTATCACCATATATATCACTAGTGGCAATCACTTTGAACGACCGGTCCACGCGATCAACAACCATAATTAACTGTCTTTGCTGATTATGATGCATATTTGGCAATGTCCTCCAAGTTTGGGTGAGCGGATTACAAATTAATGTTCTGAAAGTTAATCCATCAAGCCCAGAAAAACAAACAAGGCCACCTGATGAACCAACCAACCAGAACGCCCACTGAGGCAAAAAAGTAAATGGAATCCTATACCACGTTTTCAATGGCAAGCTAAAAACAGAGCATTGTGGTGTCTGTGAGTTCTTCCAAAATGTAAGAAGACAAGGCCCATGGGATGGCACCTGTGAATGGAATTTAAGAAAACTACAATCCTGAAGAATTGAATTCCAACGTTTACAAACAGAACGAAGCCGAAAGATCATAAACGGAGGAACCCTAGCCAAAATCTCATTTAACAAGTCTTCTGGTAGCATTGCCCAGATGTTATCTTCCATTTGAACATCTGGCTGAACAACTTTACCAAATGTATTAGCTGTCTCCTCATCTAAACCACGAGGTTTAGTCTTAATCACCTTCTGCCTCGACGGGCTAGTATTCCTGGACCCTACACGACCCAAAGGACTCGTATTCCTCGACCCACCACCCCTAATAGGTGACCCTTGCTTAGGACACCTCTCTTGTGAACTAGGTACTCCACACCCAGATTCAGAAACTTGCCCAACACCATCCATACGAAAGTGTCCTCAAAAACCTCAATTAACCCAATACTAGTTCTTAACTAAACACCAATTCTACAATCTTAACTCATAAGTTACAAACCAAAAAGTCTAAACCTTCAAACTCAAATGCTGATTTCAATAAATAATCCAATTAGAACTCTCCTACAATCACCATGTCATATTCACCTAAAGATCCAAACTTTCATCCTCAAATGGTGATCCCATGCACCAAACAACAAAAACCACAAACCAAAATACTAAAACTCAAACATAAATTGCACTAAATTTCACCCCAAATACCCATCAGATCCCCAAATGATACTCTTGTAAATATAAAACGATTCCGTCAACAGATAAAAAGAAAATCAGAAATCAATGTGACAACAAAATAAAAGGTTGAAGCTTTAATGATTTTAGATTGTGGGTTACCTTCGCATTCCACAATATTCTTCCTCAATTCGGCCTTAGTGATCAAATGCTTTACATGGCTCAAGAGAAGTTAAAAAAAGAAAAAAATATATATATATAGAAACGAAACTTTGAAATTAGCGAAGAACCTAACCTCAACACTGTTTCTCTTAACAATTTTTTTTTTCTTTTTGTCTTTATTTGGTAAAATAATTATAAAAGAAATTAAATTCGAGGTATTTTAAAATGTGAGGACCTCTAGACGCCCCTGAGGTTTAGCGAAGCAACTGGAGACCCACATGTTTTCGAATATAACACTTACGCCCTTATATTTTCAGAAATGAACACTTACACCTTTGAAATTGAACGGTGTTTGTAAAAAGTTACTATCATAAGGGTAAAATATACTATACAATAAAGAAAAACAAGCTTTTTATTTCCCAAATCTCTTATTGAATTGTCAAAGTTTAATATTTTTAAATCATTTAATATATTTAATATTTTTGTCAGGTGACAAATATCATATATTAGTTTTTTTTTGTTGTGAGAGAAACTCTGTTTTAAAACCTGGCTGCTTTAACTGGTCTAACCGAGACCTGGGGCGGGTCACCAATTTCAACTGTTCACAACCCAAATAAACAAACCGTAAAGAGGAGGGCGGCAATCAGCTAGTAGAATGGCGAGGCTATTGGCGGTTTTGGGGAGGAAGTGGTGGAAAGTTGAAAGGTGGTGACGAAGGTGATTTTCAGTTAGTGAAATGACCGAAAAAGGAAAAAGTCACGAGGCCACAATAGCAGATTGTTGCCGACAATTGGCAAGGCGAATAGGAGAGTGAGATGAGTTTTGGTTAAGAGACTGAAGGGAGTGTTTTGGGTTATGGGGAGTGTTGTCAACGACGGAAGCAGACCCTATTTGGCCTAGGTTGTCGACACTGACAATGGCTTTTTTTGCACAAAATGGTTCTATTTCGGTCAGATCTTAGGCAGATTTGCTAGGGACTAGCTCAAAGGATGAGTGGGATTTGCATCTGGTGTGTCGCCGTCGTCAACCAATCGACCACCAATTTGTATTTGAGGTGTGTTTACTGAATTTCAAAACTATAAAGATTAATGCGTAATTTTTCAAGGGCTTGTTTGCTAGATTTCAAAGCTCTAAACATGTTGACGTCATCAGTTTGACCCATCAGTCAAATCAGCTCAATCGATCAACCTAGGACCCAGCCACTTTGCTGGGTTTCACCCCAGTTCAGTTATTAAAACATTGGGAGAAAAGATAAAATAAAACTATATTATTTATTGCATCAAGAGTTTTGTGTTCGATTAACTTTTTCACAAAATGGTTGTCAATTTAAAGGGTGTAAATATTTCATTTCGGAACTTATAGGTTTTCTTGGTTAGTTCACTAAACCTCAGGGCGTCAGGCGCCTTGTAACTCTTAATAGCCCCTAGAACTAATGTCTAGGGACATCGAAAGTGTGTACCGGCCTACGTGTAACACGCACTGTTTTGTTAAAATTTTTTTTCTAGTGAACGGCCGTCCATCAAATTTGGACAGCCTTCACTCATATGGACGGGCGTCCCCATTTAAAGGACGCCCGTCCATAAATAAAATATGAAAATTAAAAAAAAAAAACTTTGGGGCGGCCGTCCATAAATTTTGGACGCCGTCCATACTAAAAAAAAAAAAAAAAACATTTGGACGGTGTCCATTAGGAATGGACGCCCGTCCATACTTTTGAAAAAAAAAAATCGTCTTCTTCATCTTCATTCCCCAGCCCTAGGTTCTCATGTTAGTTCTTCTTCGTGAGCATTTTGTTGTACAAGAATTTTGTTTAAAACTAAGGTGAAAAGAACACACCCACTGTGGTTTTCATTTCTTGTCTTTTGAAATTGACAAGCGAAAAATAGAACAAAAGGAAATGTTCCGGAATATAAGTATCTTCCACTGGTTTTTCCCACTTGCTGTTGGCAAAAGTACTAATCAAAATATTGCATTCAATTTCAGACACTTCCATCATATAAACTAACCACATAGAACACAAGCATTATAACGTAGGAAACCACAAAATAGTCATACCCACATAAATTGCATCAAAATTTCATACTTAGAAAGCACCTTTCCAAGATACTCAGAACCCATCCTGTTACTAAGATCTTGTATTATGGGCTGTTTGCAAAGTACTCCCTCTCCACGTCGAGCAGCAATCATATCAACACTTTTGTTGTATCAGCTTGACAGCGATTAACTACGCCAATCCAGGATACTGTAGCTTATATGATCTTCCTTCAAGGACTGAAATCCCAACATATTAGGAGCAGTCCTATTTGCAAAGTGTTGATATGATTTCAAAAGACAAGAAAGGAAAACCACAGTGGATGTTTCTTTTCACCTTAGTTTTACAACAAAATTTCTCGTACAACAAAAGCTCAACGAAGAACTACATAAGAACCTAGGAGCTGGGGAATGAAAACGAAGAAGACGAATTTTTTTTTTTTTTTAAAGTATGGACGGGCGTCCATTCCTAATGGACGCCCGTCCAAACATAAAGAACGGCCGTCCAAAATTTATGGACGGTCGTCTCCAAAGTTTTTTTTTTTATTTTTATATTTTATTTATGGACGGGCGTCCTTTAAATGAGGACGCCCGTCCCTTGTATATGGACGGGCGTCCATGTGAGTGAACGATCGTCCAAATTTGATGGACGGCCGTTCACTAGAAAAAAATTATTAAATAAAACAGATGCGTGTTACACGTAGGCCGATATACATTTTCAGTGTAAAATTTTGGGTGTCCTGCATTATTGGCCCCTAAAAATGTACCAAAAGTTGCTCATATTGTTGCTGCTTGTCCAATCAATGCACGACACCTTACCAAACTTTGAAAACTAATTAGTTAATGCGTCAATCAATGTTTCATTTTGATTAGTTATTTGATTTATCTAATCTTAAAATAATTGATGATTTTTTTATTTTTTACTTAAATAGTTTATTTTAAATGAATTAATAGTATATTATATATGCATTATTGTTCAGTTAATTCGAAAAAATTTGGAGCGTTAAACGTTGGATGAAATAGACGGTGAGGATTGAAGGGGAAGTCAGAGTATGGGTGTCCACGAAGGAAACAAAAATAAAAAAAGAGATAATTGGGGTCCACTAAATGGCGTTGGTATATGATAATTGGGGTCTACTAATTCAGAAAGCGTAGCGGTTGTTGAAAATTGAACAGGTCGGGGCGGGTCGGGGCAGGGGCCCTGCAGATTCCCGAACAGGTCAGTAGTGACAAATCAATTTTAAATTTTGACTTTAACAAAAGGACCCAAAAAATTGATTTATATCGTATCTGGTTTAATTTGTTTATTATATAGCATATCATATGGTAACGTAATATCATGTCATATACACAAAACGTGAGGTGGGATTTATGGACCTCACATGTAACATCCCGACCCATTAACAAAATATTGTTCGCTTTGAGTCATAGCAAGCGTCTTGATAGTTTAGGAGCTCAAGTGACATGGAATGTCACAAAGATATTTAATGAATCTCACGATTTAACTCGCTTGTGGATTGCAACGTCTTTGAAGCTCGCTCGATATTTAACTAATCTTCACTTTAAGTTAATCTTTACCTAACCTTCACAAACGATGTAAAATGTCACAATTTACCCCCTTAGGTTTCAACATCCTTGCTAGCATCCTGAGCTACTTTTGACCAACCACACGCTTCCAATTGGGCCTTGCACTAATACCATCAGTAACATCCTGATCTACTATTAAAATATTGTCCGTTTTGGGTTTTTGTGAGCCCGCACAAGTTTGTTTTTTAGGCTTCATGCAAACGTTTTTCACCAAAAATGTCTTGACAACTTAGAAGCTCACATGATATTTAACTAATCTTCACTAAACATTTCCAAGCGATGTGGAATGCCTCATCATGTCAAATGGATATTATCTATTTTGGGTTTAAACTCACATGAAGAATCTTACGTCAACTAAATAAATATTGTCTACTTGGGATTTAGGTTCGCACAAATTTGCTTCCACGTTTCAAAAAGGGTCATTCAGCAAGAACACATATCAAAGTCTTAATGGAGATTACCCAACCCAAGGCCCGTAAGAATTTCACCAAAACAGGGCTACCTGCCTATTGAGCTTATTGAGGCCACTACAACACCTATTCCAAATAATTGAAATAGAAGACTGTGGATTTGGAATTATATGCTATTCAAGACAGTTTGATTTCATAAATAATTTAGGGGTGTTCAAAAGAACCGATTGAAACCAGAATCGAAGGGTACTCGGGGTTTGGTTCCGGTTCCTACCCAGAATCGGCTTTCAACGGTTAGGTTCCAGTTCTAAATTTTTTTGAACCATTACTGTGCGGTTCCGATTCCGATTCCGATTCCTATAGTTAAGAACCGAAACCGGGAACCGAGACTAATACAAAATAAAATTAAAGAGTAAGGGTGTTAATAAAAACTTTTGTAGAAAAAGTAATATGAATACATTTATATTTATATTTCATAACATTTCAAGTAAATTGGTTTGACTTTTGATAATCTACCTTTACAAAGTAATGGAGTTTATAATTTTGAATTTATAATTTGTAATTTTATTTTTGTTAACAAATGCTAGGTGGGGGGGTATTTGTAAGTTTTTAAGGATTTTTTTGCCATTTTAAAAACTTTTGGGGGGTTATTGTAATTTTATAGGGTACCCAGAGCTGGAACCGGAATCGTTGTTACAGGTTCCAGTTCTGAGTACCTAGGAACCGGAACAGTCGATTCCGATTTTGGTTCCAAGTTTCAAGGAACCGTCGGTTCCGGTTTCTTCAAAAAATGCAGGGGTGCGCTTGGTTCCATATTATTATCCATATTCCCAATCCTATTCCCCAAATATTGTTTGGAACATTATTTGAGAAATATTATTGTATTTTTTAATTACTTTTAGACCCCTTAAATTTATTAATTTCATAAATACCCCCAGAAAAAAGTTTAAAAAGTAACAAAAACACCCCCTAAACCAATACTTGCTAGATTCCGGCAACCATCGTCAGTGATAGCCAAAATCTGTTACAACAACCCACACCCATACCGAAAAAGGCCGACAAGTCACCGAT